GAATGGTCAAGTTGCATAAGCATATGGAGCAGAGGTCCATCAGTGCCTATTAGCCACACGGTATAGATGGAACACTCTGTCTGGGGCAGTGATGCTCTGTATTGCAGGAATGGTCAAGTTGCATAAGCATATGGAGCAGAGGTCCATCAGTGCCTATTAGCCACACGGTATAGATGGAACACTCTGTCTGGGGCAGTGATGCTCTGTATTCTTGGTGCGGGGGGGGGCAACAGTGGGAGGGCTTCTGGAGTCCTGGTCCCACTGGTGGACCTCCTGAGGGCACCTGGGTTTTGGCTACTGCCTGACACAGGGTGTTGGACTGGATGGGCCAGTGGCCTGATCCAACATGGCTTCTCTTATGTTCTTATAGATGGAACACTCTGTCTGGGGCAGTGATGCTCTGTACTCTTGGTGCTTAGGGGGCAACAGTGGGAGGGCTTCTGGAGTCCTGGTCCCACTGGTGGACCTCCTGATGGTCACTGCCTGACAGAGAGTGTTGGACTGGATGGGCCATTGGCTTCTCTCTTATGAGTTTGCAGGAAGTCATTCAGGGTTAGGCAGGCTGATGTACTAGATGAGTCTGGGACTGGTTCTCACATGCTGACAAGTTGCCCGGAATGAAGCTTCTGCTGTATTGGACCTTTCACTCTGTGCTTGTCTCCTTGGATCACATGTCAGATGATCCCAGGCCAGAAGGGAAATGGCAAACCAGAAGGTGCTATTATTATACAAGTGGTCGCAGCTACCTCCACAACCCTGGGCATGGAATGGGAGAAAGACCAGTTTGAGACATCCCCCCTTGCCCCTTATAGAATGTGGGGTGAGGAAGAGAAAGGGAGCGGTGCAACCCGGGAGAAGAAGAAAGGAGCCAGGACAGGCACCAACAGACACCCTGTGCCCAAGGCCCACAGAGACCCATAGCTGTGATTTAACCTTCCTGTGATTTCTCAGGAGTCCCTTAAGGCAGTGGTTCTCAACCTTCCTAATGCCGTGACCCTTTAATACAGTTCCTCATGTTGTGGTGACCCCCAACCATAAAATTATTTTCGTTGCTGTCATAAGACCATCGAAATTTTGTGTTTTCCGATGGTCTTAGGCGACCCCTTGTCGTTCGACCCCCCAAGGGGTCGCAACCTACAGGTTGAGAACCACTGCCTTAGGGCCTGTCATCTGAAACTGTTGCAAAGGTAGCTCCGTCAGGTCCCCCACATACAATGGGGATACGGTGGGGAGGGAGGGCGCCCAGTGAGGCTCACCGGAGGCTTTGCGACCCGAACTGTGTTAAGATTATGCATGGGAAAGAGCAGGTAGAGAAAGAGGTACTTTTCTCCCTTTCTCACAATACAAGAACTCGTGGGCACTCCATGAAACCGCTGAGCGGTTGGGTTAGAACGGATAAAAGGAAGTCCTTCTTCACCCAAAGAGTGATTAACCCATGGAATTCACTGCCACAGTAAGTGGTGGCAGCTACAAGCATGGACGGCTTCAAAAGGGAATCAGATAAGCATGTGGAGCAGAGGTCCATCAGTGGCTATTAGCCATAAGGTACAGATAGGGGCTCTGGGGCAAGTGATGCTCTGATTTCTTGGTGCTGGGGGGGGGTCAACAGTGGGAGGGCTTCTAATGTCCTGGCCCCACTGGTGGACCTCCTGATGGCACTTGGTATTTCTCGCCACTGTGTGATACAGAGTGTTGGACTGGATGGGCCTTTGGCCATATGTTCTTATGTTCTTAAGTATTTGGATGACTTCTGGGGTCTAGTGAAGGCTCTCGGGCCAGCTCTTGTCTTGCATTTCTTACAACAGCAACGGGGGACCCAAGAAGAGACGCCCGGAGAAGCCAGACTAAGCTCTCGTGTCCTGCTTGTCTTTCAGGCCTTGTATTTGATAGCTACAAACGGAACGCCGGAGCTCCAGAATCCGGAGAGACTCTCGGCCGTCTTCCGAGACTTCCTGAATCGCTGTCTCGAGATGGATGTCGACCGGCGAGGGTCTGCCAAGGAGCTGTTGCAGGTGAAGGGGGCAAGGGTGGAGAGCAGGGGGCAAGGGGGCGTGTCCCAAGGGGGGAAAGAGGAGCCCCCCTCCATGTTTTGCATCCGTGGCAGAATCCAGATGCAGAAAATAAGTATAAAGGCATCAGTCGTGAGAGTCTGACCCACAAAGCAAGCAGTCACCAAGGCTTGCAAGGGAAAAGCTTCCTGTGTATTATAATCTAAAGCACTACAACATCATTTAAAAAACCATAAGAAAATCCTTGTGCACAGGTAGATAATCAACGTCGTCTCCGGATTATATAACAACGTTTCAATCATGGATCTTCCTCAGGAGATATTAGAGTAGTACAAGAAGAAGAAAAAGAAGAAGAAGAGATTAGATTTATACCCCGCCTTTCACTACCCAAAGGTGTCTCAGAGCGGCTCACAAACTCCTTTCCCTTCCCCTCCCCACCACAGACACCCTGTCAGGTAGGTGGGGCTGAGAAAGCTCTCTCGAGAACTGCGCTTTTTTCAAGAACAGCTGTGCCAGAACTATGGCTTGCCCAAGGTCTTCCAGACAGGTGCAAGTGGAGGAGTGGGGAATCAAACCCGGTTCTCCCAGATGTCATGCCTGCCCCCGACCCGGCGCCTGGGAGCTCTGATACTGAGGACTCCGTGCCTTTAACACCATCAGAGGCACAGGAGGCTTTTTCAAACCTAAGTACCGGAAAGGATGAGTGCCAGCCTTCAGAACAGCCTGCACCTGAAACCGATCAGGCAGTGCCTGGCCCCTGCAGCACGCCACCCGATTCTCCGCCACCTGTCGACCGGCTGAGGGATCGGAGATGCCGGGACTTGGCAACCAGACGCAAAGAGGCACGCTTGCATGGTTGTAGATTAATAAGCCTGGAGTTCTAGCGGGATCAAGGACTTCGCAAGGCAGTGCTAATGAGGCACTAATGAGTTAACAACCCAGCAAGCTATTTGAATAGGTCGCTGACTGCTGGCTAATCGTGCTGGCAAACTTATCCTTCGGACCAGAAACTCTGCACCTCTGACTCTGTTCCTGGTATCCGGCTCCTGACTGACTCCCTGGCTCCTGACTCCAGTCCACGTTTTGACGACCCCCTGGCTCTTGATCCTCGGCTCTGCACCCTGACTTCGACGCTTGCCCATCTGGACTCTGACTCTTGGTAACGCTCTGACTACGGCCTGGCTTTATGTATTGGGACTTTTGCTCTGGTTGTTTTGCTCTCTCTCTCTGGCTTGACTCTTGGACTGGACTGTGAACTCCCCCTCTCTGCCTTGCCCCACTGGCCCTGTCGTGACACCAGATTAGAGTCTGCGCAGTTAACCACTACACCAAACTGGCTCTCTCTATTCATGAAGTGTTTGACAACACGTCATAAGGAATATTACATTCAAATAGGACGCTGATCTCAATAAATGTTCAGGCTCAAATATGCTGCTAAGCTTCTAAATGGATCCCAGGCGTCTCCCGCGCGTATCCTAAGGGAGCCCCCTTCCCATGTTCTGCATCTGTGGCAGAATCCAAATGCAGCCTTAACGTGGGACTGTCCCACGTGGGCTGTGCTTCTCCCACCCAGTTTCAGCATCCCAGCCTGAACACCCCAAGCGGCCTTTCACTGAATCAGACCATCGGTCTCTCAAGGTCAGAACTGTCTGCTCAGCCTGGCAGTGGGTCTCTGGGGTGTCGGGCAGAGGTCTTTCACATCACCTACTGCTTGCTCCTGGAGATGCCGGGGATTGAACCCGGGACCCTTCCCTTCTGCAAGCCGAGGAGGCGCTGTACCACTGAGCCACGGCCCTGCCCAAATGTCACAGAAGCATCCTGGGATGCTGTCAGAGGAAAGGGGTGGCCATGGCAGGAGTGCCACCTGAGTTGCACTGGGGAGGAGGAGGGGAGAAGATGCCCCAGAGGGCGTGGAAGAAGAAGAAGGGACCCCCGTGCTGAGACACACTGTGTCCAAGGACCTATAAAGCTTTCTCTGATCCTACCACTCCAAGGGCTGGTCTTCATATCAGCCCCATAGACAGAAATGTTGGGTTGGTGGGGCATTGCTAATAATTTTAGACTCCCATCTTGAACTTTTTTAGTTAAATAATTTTGGAGCTCCGTAAAGTAAATTTTAGTGAAATTGTATTTATTGTATTTTATATTACTCTGTACTGTTTTAATGTTTTAACTTGGGCATTCGTGCTCCTTGTGAGCCGCCCTGAGCCTTCGGGGAGGGTGGGGTATAAATTTAAAGATAAATAAATAAAATGGGGGAGTTTTGTGGGGCAGCAGGGGGAGGGGGAGCAGCAGGGGAAGGGGAGCGGGAGGCGGAGCAGCAGGGGGAGGGGAGCGGGAGCAGCAGGGGGAGGGGGAGCAGCACCCGCTTGCCTTCGCTTGAACTCCAAGCAGCGAATTCGCCGCTTGGAGTTCAGGCACGGGCAGCCCCCACTTGAAAAACACCTTATAGAGGGAACCCTTTAAATTGTGTTTTTCAAGCGGGGACTACCTGCGCCGGAACTCCAGCTGATCAGTGGGCCACGTGCTCCTGTCGATCAGCTGGAGGGGAGGGAGACGGGGGAGGGGGGCAGCAGCGGGTTGTGGGGTATGCCTCATATTTTAAGGGGCAGAGCTTGAAATGCCCCATTGTAGTTACGGCCCTGCTTCAAATACTTATCTGGCGAACGCCCAGAAGGAGGGACAGTGACCACATTGAGTAATACGGAAGATCTGTCCATGGTGCTGGATCGGGGATAGCCTGTCGACAAGTGTCAGAGATTCCCTTGAGGCACCCGCTGCGAGGGCACGGAGGGCGTGAGGCAGAGGGAATAACCACGCTCCTCTTCCCTTTCTTTCAGCATCCGTTTTTAAAACTGGCCAAGCCGCTCTCCAGCCTGACTCCGTTGATCATTGCTGCAAAGGAGGCTATAAAGAACAGTAGTCGCTAGCCCTCGGGAGTAGCAGGAGCCCGCTCCTTCGCGGCAGGACTGAACAGGAACTCAGCCGAAGCTCAGACTTCTCTGCTGCAGGATGGGCGGGCAAGCAGCGTGGCCACCGTCGAGGGAGAGGGAGGCAGTCGGCCTCCGGCTTTTCCCGGAACAGAAACCTTATCACATGTCTTCTTCCCACTTTCGGATTCCTTAATTTATTTCTAAGGCGGACAGGAGCCTGAGAGAGGCGGGACCCTGAGCCCCTGGGCTCTTTTCAGCCATTTCCAGGGGAGCTGATGGCGCCGCATGAATGCTCTGCGCACTCACCGGGACAGGCGTGGTAACCAAACCAGCCCCTTTCCACCCCCTGTGGCTTTTCTGTTTGGCTGCGGAATGGAAGCAAGGAGATCCTTTTGCATTCAGCCGATCAGAAAGGATCAAAACTATGCGCTAGCTACCGTTCACTTGGTCATTAGAGGTGGAGGGACACGGGGAAACGTGTTTTGTTTAACCAAAAAAAAAAGAGAGAGAGAGAGAAAGAACCCCCCCAAGAAGCGGATCAATCACAACATCCTCTTTGAGGTTTGTGGATCGAAATGCAGAATCCAGGTACCATTATTTTCCCAGGCAGGCTGGCAAGGATGTCTCGAATATTGGTGCTTTCGCGTTGGTGAGTTTTTCGCTCCCGAAAATGAAACGGACATGGGTAACGTGCAGACCGCTTGGTTCCAGCTGGGCTTACAGAAGTGCCTGGGTGGGGCAGTCCTTCCACATGCCCATGCCTTTCTCCACAATCCTGGGCCCGTGCCATCGGGGTTGTGGGCGTCGCCAGAACTGTTCCATAGATGGGTGGAAGGGGAGTCATTGGGGTCAAGTCGTCCCCCAGTCCTAAACCCTCCTCCCCTTTTGATTTTAGGATAGCAAACTAAGGCGGTGAGCCGTAATCAGCTGTCAGGCACATCTCTAAGCCCATCTCCTTTAACGTAGCGACCCTTGTTGGGTTCAGGAGGAGATACACAGCAAGCTTTCCAAGGTCAGAGCGATGGTGTAAACGGAAGCGGTCCTTCTGTGTATCAAGCCGGAAATGTCCAACTCCGCTTTTGAGCAATCCCAGTAAACAGGGTTGGAGGGGGATAAGAGAAAGAAGTGACTCTCTGTGAGGAGTCCCAGCCACTTGCATGAAATCAAAGGTACGAGGGTCTGCAGAATTTGGCCCTCTGAGCACCGCTGACTGTGCGGCAAGAGCTTGTGGAGGAGATGAAGGGCTTGATCGGGGAGGTGGATGAGAAAACGAGAGGTGATTCTGCAACAGAATATAGTCGGGGGGGGATGACTCCTCAGTCCTGCTGTAGCTAGAATGCAAAAGCTGAAACCTCCACCCCCCCCACCACACACACACTATTGCTAAGGCCTAGAAACGACTGTGACTATCTGTAAACGAGCAACATAGCTTTGATTAAACGATTTGTGTTGACATTTCTTTCAGCTTGAGTCAAAGTGACCTCATTTCCCTTCATTCAGCGAAAGCAGGCTGGTTTCGTAATCTCCATTCCTAGGGGTTGCCAGCATTTTTCTGTCCTAACCAGGCCTTGGCTCCTGTGCCTTTAACGACAGCTTAGTTTGCAGGCATGGACAAGTGATCCCCTTTCTCTCTGAGCCATGGAAAGCTTTTGCCGGCTTGGTTTTTTGCAGGATCTGCCTGCTGTTTATCGCACAGGAGCAGTCCGAGGCTCTTTTTTACCCTCAGTCATTTGGCAACCTTCCTTTTCGTGATAGGACCAATCCGGGGGGGAAGATAGGATATTACAGATGTTTTGACTGATGGTAATGTTGAGATGGTTGCTGAGGGTGGGGGTGCCGATGTGGTTGGAGGGGGGAGGCAATCTACCTTATATTGCCGCACCTTCAGTTACCGCTTTAAGACGCAGGGGCCGTCTATCTTTTGTCGTAGTTGAATTGGCACAGTGTCACATTAGGCATTTTCCGTTGGTCTTTTGGCTCATCTAAAACCATCTAGATGTGAAGATAGGGAATCTGTGAACACAGATCCTCCATAATCTCTCTCCGTCTCTCACTTTTACTCTGTCACATAGAGCCTCGATTTGCATTGGGGCCATGTTTCCCTCCTGGGGATACCATTTTTGTGATCTGAATTGCCTGTCCCCGGTATTTTTATTTTCTCATTGGGGGTCGTATTATCCCTTTTGCCCAAGCAGCCTCTTGTGGGGGGGGCACATAAGGTGACGCGCATCCTGCATCCCCTTAAAGAGCAATGGATTTATTGTAGCGCAAGTCCCGTGGCTCCAGCCATGCCACAGGGTTGTAGTGGTTAGAGTGCCACAAAAGGATCAAGGAAAGCCTGGGTTCAAATCCAGAGCAATGGATTTATTGTAGCGCAAGTCCTGTGGCTCCAGCCATGCCACAGGGATGTAGTGGTTAGAGTGCCACAAAAGGATCGAGGAAAGCCTGGGTTCAAATCTTCCCACAGTCGGGAAGCTCACTTGGTGGCTTTGTCCCCTCCAGTCTCACTCAGGCTAAGGTACCTCGCAGGGTTGTTGTGAGAATAAAACGGAGGAAGGGAGAAACAGGTATGCCGCTCTAAGCTCCTTGGAGGAAGGACGGCATAAAGGAGGCCGGGCCTACTTTTATCAGTTGCATGAAGCGAAGCATCAGTCACCAGAGACACACGGATGCAGAGGGGGACTGGGTCAGCAGTGAAGTTAAAAGGCCGTGAAACGTAAGGGGTACAGTTTGTGACATTTAAATGTGAAACGCAAACGTGTGTAAGTGTGGCGTCTGTTCCTAACAGCCGTAATGGGTAACCGTACGGTCACGCGAGTGAGTGAAACTAATTTAATGCCAGTAGCCGGTGAGAAATGCATTGTCTCGGTTTCATTAAAATCTGTTGGTACATTCTAACTTGGGAGTTGTCTACTCAGCCGTGCTCTGTGCGACGATATGTCTTTGAGGGGTCACAGTGACACCTGTTGGAGTGCGTTTTGCTGTGGAGCTGTTGATTCCCTTGCCATGAGTGGATAAGTATTTAAGTTTAAAGAACATACCATCCCAGGAAACCATGGGTTGGATCCCACAGATGGTGGCACCTTCCCACCCACCCCCCGCGGAAAGCACCTCCCCCCCGATGCAAAGACCGAGGACTTGTAGATCATTTCCCATGGATTCATGTTGCATCGTTTAGGAACTGGATGGGGGGGGGGGAGTGGCTGTCGTTTGCTTCTCGTGACCAAATGCAGGCCCTGCCTGTACCTGTGGTGCAAATAACCGGCCAGAAGGGATGGATTCAGAATGTGGAGATGTTGCTAACCCCCCATTCATGCATCTCTGTCGTCACACTTACTCCTGTCATCCATCCAAGCTCTCCCCTGTTCTGATCCTCTGCAGATGTCCATGCTGTTCCTTCTCCCGCCCCCCCCCCCCCCCCCGTGAGTGGTCCATCTTGATTTTGCTGAAGAAATCCGGGCTCCTATCGTGAATTTCTTTTTCAAGTGAGGTTGGGAGACACTGACCCGTTGAAGGCTGGCGTCGCAGTAGGAAACGGGCTCCGTTCAGACGCATTGCCAAACCACGGTTTAATCGAGCCGTGGTGAATGTGATTGTCTGGACAGGGGCCATTCCATTATCTGTGTCCCACTGGGGTCTGTCAAAACGGGATCCGAAGCCACGGAAGTTGGTTTATTAACCACAGTAAGTCATAACAGTGATTTTGCATGATGTGCAAATGTGGGCGTCCTGGCTTGATCCTGACCCACGTTTACCAAGGTGCCTGGCCAGAGTGAGGGTGGTAAAACTAAGATCTGAGCAATCATCTATGAGCTAAACCCTGGTCTCCTAATGTAACCAGAGGCAGAATAAGCACAGGTTTCACATGATGTCTGAACTGAGCCACGACATGAGAAGTCGTACAGAATATATTTTCTCTTGTTAAAAATTCAGCCGTCCACTGTGTTACTGGCTGGACCAGCAAAACTGTGCTTTATCTCTCAACCAGCACTGGAATTTGTAAGTCTAGATCTATGCGATGGTTCCACACACACACACACACCCGATTGGCAAAACCTCTGGTTAAGAAGAGAAGAAGAGATTAGATTTATACCCCGCCCTTCACTACCCAAAGGAGTCTCAGGCCCCGTTCACACGGAGCATTTGCCGCTCTAAAGAAATGGATGATAGGCGGATTTTTCCGGGCGTGATCACACCACAACATCTGGGAAGCGTAGTGCTGCCATGGCTAACCCGTGGCTTCCCGCCGACAATGCGCGTTAAAAAACTAGTACCTCTAAGGTACTAGTAAACGTTTGCCACGGGCTGCCTCCAGACGCCCGTGGTGTGATCGGGCCGGCGCGCGGCATTCCCCTCCGTTCCCTCGTTTACCTGCCGGTG